CAGATGCTTGAGGTAGTAAAACTGCTTTGAGTCTGCAGAGTCCAGGCAGTTAACCTCCCTGGGGACTGGAATAGGTCGCAGAGAAGCAGACTAATCAGATGAGCCTACTTTAAGGAAGAGCACTGGGATTTTTCTGCTCGACTGAAGAATTGAATACAAAGAGCGCAGCGACGTGCTGACAGTCAAGCTGAAAAAGGTTTACTGCTAAAGTGTGGAGAAGTCAACAATGCTCTCGCACGAGAAAGTATGAATCGTCAGTTCTGAACAATCACTGGTAATATTCCAGTAGTCTGAGAGAACTAAAAGAGCCGTAGACAGAGCAGACCTGACTGGATTTGTCGACACATCCTGCGGCCTTGTAGTAGTTCCAAAGAATTTGACTGATAAGATGACGATAAATTAGGGCAAGACACTGAGCGTCGGCAGTCCGATTGACGAAGGATTGATTGTACAGATTAAAGCTGGAATTGCCTAAATTAACAAAAGGTGAACAAGTCCAGCGGGCTGTCAAAATAAGCGAGACATAGCTCTGAGTCGACAGTGCCTAGATCGAGAAATCTTGCTGGTCTGGAGTAGGTCATAGGAGCAGACCGGGCAGGTGAGACTGGATTACTGCAGGGCGCTGAGAGTTGGCAGTCAGATTAAAAAAGAAATGAAAGCGGAGAGCGCTATAAGGAGAGCAGACGGTCCGGATAGAAAGAAGTTTACTTGTGAGGTGTGTAAATGTCAATGAGGCTCACGAGGTAATGGAGAAAGAGTGTTCGGTCTCCGAAAAAATGTCGGTAACCTCACAGCAGTCTGAGAACTCGGAGAGCAGGGAACCGATCAGACGAGACTGGATTAGTCGGCCTATTGAGAATAAGTCGTACCGTGAAGGTGGGAAGAAAAATAAAGCGTCAGAAGAGATGGACAGGCTAGGGATTGAAGAGGCTAAATGAATATAAGGTATGCTAGTCAGGCAGGCTCGCAAGGTGAGAGAAGTTGTGTGTTGGTTATGCAGAGCCTAAAACTGCATTTCGATGGTCAGGAAGTAGCCATAAAGAAGGATAGAGCAGGTTACTGAGGGCGCGCTCTCCGGTTGAAGAAGAAATAAAGACAGCGCGCGATATGGAGAGGACGGATTCGAGAGTAAACGTTTACGGATAATAAATAAATAAATGGTGTATTCTAGGTAAAACAAGACACGCCTGTAAAGGCGTGATCAAATATGCATACAAGCATAGCTTCTTTGCAATGTTAAAACGTTTCGTTTTAATGAGATATAACAGAAATGATGTAGTCCATACGAGTTGGCATGTTGTCAGGTAACAGTGAGATCAATGACCATGATGGCACTGTGACGCGCAAAAATTAGTCATAACTGTTGCGTCAAGCTACATGTTGGGCGTGAATTCGCCGCGTAATAATCCATGAGCATAAGTGCCCAAAGAAGGCTTGGTATCATCAATGAGCATTACGAAGTCAAGATGATTTGTACATTCTCCATTGTAAAAGCAGTTGCACAGTAACGCGACAGTTAACATAGCTCCCGAGTTAATGGTGACAGAGTCATCCGTCTTTCGAGCAATGGCCGGCAACGTCACAGAAGTCGAAGAGAAGGAGGCCGATCAGCCTAGACTAGATTAAGCGGCGCATTTTGATTGTGTCGCACAGTTTATTTGGGAAGATAATTGGCGTCAGTAGGGTTGGACAAGTCGGGGATAACCTCTCTCACAAACTTCTCTTCAATCATGGTCTAAGTACCCATAGCGCCAGCGCAACCGCCCAGTCCTCGCTAGATCCCTACGCTACTGTGCTTCTCATTTCGAAGCGTTTTGGACCAGTCTGACCACAGTGGATCCAAATGCCATTTAGTCACCAACAAATGCCTCTGTCCTTTTGCGCGTTGGCTAATATTGACCACGGGGCTCATTGGTAAAAGCGACAGCCTCGTACTACTCATCTCTGATTCATTTGCTGTATGCTTGGTCCTCTCTACCGAAATTGCAATTTCCGGTCTCTGCTTGAGTTTTGTCTCCCGGCTCCCCTACCAAGGCTTTTAGTTCACCTTAACTTCGGCCACTCTCATTCGCGTCCTGATTATTCTACTCCATATTTGGCCACATTCTACTAACACTTCTTGACTACATCGTACTTTCGCAGGCTAACCCCTGTCAGTAACAGTGATAGATAGGTTGCGTGTTCAGGTCACGTCGGGGTCACCAATTGTTGGGCGGAGCCTGGGATACTAGTCGGTTAGCAATGCCACGTAATACGTGTCAAATACGACAGTATAGAAGTCGGAGGCGACGGATCCCAGCGTATATTGTACAGGTTACAAGAATAGTAAGCGAATCAGAGAGAGCGAGAAAACGTGCAGCGAGGTACTCACCAAAACGGTTTTGTGACAACGGTTGCGCAGTCAGTAAAACAAATGGACGTTTTGAAGGTTAAAACAACCGTAAAATCCAATGTTAAAAAATACTGAAAGAGCTTGTTTTCCGGTACACTACAACTCTATACACCTATTAGTCTACGCAGGGCCTAAAATAGCATGCAGCTGTTGATTATTAATTAATCAGGCTGTCAGAAACTCAATAACCATCCATATATTTGACTTTTACGTTCCACCCTGGATTTCCAGCTTAGCATAGAAGACCTTGCATTTTCAGTGTTGCTCTTCTTACTATACTGATATTACGGTTCACTTTAAGTGCTGGTCCTACAACCGTTTTCTCGCCGAAGCAGTGGTATGCAATTCCTTCTCTTCTCGCTCTTGTTTTTAACGTTGAATGCCTATCAGTCCGTACATCGTCATACGACAGCGGGCAGTTTATTTCTCATAATTAATTCTACTCCCAGTATCGCTCTTTCCTGCAGTCCCTTTGATTTGTATGCTGCACTGCAAAGTCCCTATCTTTTTCCACTATTCCAGGTTTCATCCGGTGCTGGCTTTGCAATCTTATTCTTGCTACAGCTGTAGTATATTATCCCTCCTATACTCGTCACAACTACTTTGACAATCCGCATTACACCATCACCTAGCTATTTCTCTAGCATCCTATTAACGAACTTGTTGCGTTATTATTTTACGAGTCTCTGATCCGGTGTGGCAACTCCACTGGCTCTCATAAAGTTTCGAACGGTAAGCTCTACCACTGTCGATCGAACGCTCAAGCTACATCTTAGTCGTATAGTTCACTACTTACTACGTACTTCTGCTCCTCTCAGCTGTTTCAGCGGTTAAAAGCGCCTGGTTTTTCCCGGTTTCCACATAGGACAACTATTGCGTACGCTTGGCCCATTCGGACAGCATTGTTTCTGACATTCAACAAATATCGGGTCCCCCACTTGTATGCAAAACATCAGGGATGTTGTATAACATATTCGGTCATTCCATAGCTTTTGACCGGCATAGTATTACCAAACATTTTATATTTATTCGTCAACATAGACCTGCTCAATTTCCTTGGCAAATGCCTGGGTCTGTTTTTCTTTTCCCTTGTTCTAAAGGATAACATTATCTGCACGGGACACGCTTGAGAACATACCTGCGACCATCACCTGGACACGGAATTTACGTAGAACAATCAAATCATCCGTACTTCGCAAGCCTGACGCACAAAAGGAACCCAGTAAACTAATCAAACCAATACAAGTCCCCTAAGTCGTCGGACTTCAACCGTTCCAACTACTTGTGGCCGACTTCGAAGGAGCCAACTACACAACCATAAGAAACAAATTGGCGAAATATGACTGCGAATATCCGCGAGGATAATCGGTCAGTGGCAATCTTGTCAATGTCACATCACCATTTGGCAGTGTTCCAGGACGTGGTGGATTTTCGGCTGGCAAGTCTTCCCTACGAAAAGCCACAAATGTCCGTTGAATAACGCTGCGACGTGGCAGATGTGACTTGCCACTCAAAAACGTCACTGCCCCAACTACACACTGCCATTTTGACCAATACCACATTTCCCAATTGCTGTGCATAAATCGGCTCTCGTATAACTAGGCCTACATAGTTAACCAGTGATTTGCCACTATTCTTAAAATATATTTGCAGTTCTTCCCTTATGCTGTACTCACTTGCTCTGCATTGGGTACACCTGCTCATCGGACTAGTTCCTCATTAACGAACATATTAATGACCCCATTCGTATCTCTACAACCCGCTTGCTGTGACGATAGACTTCATAGAATCTTTGGGTTAGGTGGACCCACACTGCTGACTACATCTGTACTACTCCCGCTTTTACTTCTGCTAAGCATGCTCTCACGTAAAAGGTTGCAATTTGCTTATCATGCCCAAAAGGCGTGCCTCGATTTGTAGAGAATATTATATGCTTATTTATGTATTTTCTCCGGTGAGAAATTGGTTGAAATATGGCTTGCAATAGACGTGACTGGGCACATGATGACCAAAGCAACGTAGGAAATATGCATCCTTGCGACTTCCATGGATTTCCTTGAGTCACTCATGTGCCTGAGGAGACAGCTAATAGCCGGATGTAATGATTAAGATGGTATCATTTGTGTTATAACACTTGCATCGTCTCAGCTTGTTTTACTTGCAGTTTGTTAGAAACCTTGTTTCAAACTTTGCCCAACAGCTTATCCCGTCAGGTTAATTGGGGTGGTACTTCGTGTCAGGTACACCGTTTGCGCGCCCGTTATCAATGAGCAATTCAAGCAGGCTACATGGCAGCGTTTACAGAAGCTTCAGTAAGAAAGTCATTACCCGGGTGCAACGGAGGACAGCAAAACCAAGAAAACAACCATGAAACCGACAGGCTACCGGCCTTACTGGAAGTGCTAGCAGAAAAGTGGCTAGCGCATTGGAAAGGAATAGCTCTGTATACTTAAATTACTGATACGGAATCGATGGTTATGATACGGAATCAATGGTTATAATACGGAATCGATGGGGCTGACAAGGGACTTCTCTCCTGCTCTCTACGATTCAATGAAATAAATGAACAATGAACTTGGCTAAAATGCTTTCATACACTGTGTTTTGATTAACCTATGCAGTCCAACTGTGTTTCCGCTTGCAAGTTCTGTGGTGTTTTAAGACAAAAATCTAGCGCATCTAACGCTGAGCAACCAAAAAAGGTATAAGTATGTCCTACTGCCAAAGTCTAACACTGCAAGACCTAGGATTCCAGACCTTTCACTGGCATTTTCCAGCCCAGTCTACCTTAGTACTAAAATCTTAGCGCCATAACAGGACTCAGTATCTGCACTCCTCTGACTCATATGCTGCGATGTCCTCAGCAGACTTAATTTATGCATGCACTCCGACTGTTTGATGTCTTTCCATATAAACTTTTCAGCTTTCTCTAGCACTCCTTCCAACTCTTCAAGTCGGTGCTCAGCCGCTACTTAGCCTCTCTACTCTAGACGTTCTCATATCTCTTAATTGTTGTAACGTCTTCGACTTTTTCACCTGTAAGCGTCCAGCTATTGGACTAGCTTTCCCAGGCTCTTTCCAAAGTAGTAATATCCCAGTACCATAGCATGCATTGTGAACTTATACACCGCCGTGGTTCAGCATTATATGATATGACTCCCCCAAACAACTCACTGTATGCTTGCATTCTTCTTGTCTGTTGTCCTTTCTTTATTCGACCTTCTTAGCTCTCGTCTGGCGACCTTCTTTACCTCATCCGGTCAGTGCACAGCTGCTCCTTGCTAGATGCACAGCTGTCACTCGTCTGTGACAGCTAATTACTTGTAGTACAGCCCTCTCACCGGCTTCTCCCTGCTCAGGCTTCCCTACTTTTATTACATTAGCACCAGGGCATGATTTCATCATCTGCGCGTCGCCGCGTCTTCGCCTTTTATGCTCCGAACTACTTAACAACCATATCGTATGCTTGCGCTTCATCCGTTCGCTGTCCTCTCTTCATAAAACCTTTCTTAATTCTCTTCTGTGAAGCAAACATAATTCATGTGGCCTGCGCACAGTTGCTCCATTGCCTCTCCCTTCTAAACGTCCATTTATCCATTGCTTGCTGCAACGTCTGTGACGCCAGCTCATATAGGATTCCAGACCTTTCACTGGCATTTTCCAGCCCAGTCTACCTTAGTACTAAAATCTTAGCACCATAACAGGACTCAGTATCTGCGCGCCTCTGACTCATATGCTGCGATGTCCTCAGCAGACTTAATTTATGCATGCACTCCGACTGTTTGATGTCCTTCCATATAAACTTTTCAGCTTTCTCTAGCACTCCTTCCAACTCTTCAAGTCGGTGCTCAGCCGCTCCTTAGCCTCTCTACTCTAGACGTTCTCATATCTCTTAATTGTTGTAACGTCTTCGACTTTTTCACCTGTAAGCGTCCAGCTATTGGACTAGCTTTCCCAGGCTCTTTCCAAAGTAGTAATATCCCAGCACCATAGCATAAATTGAGAACTTATACACCGCCGTGGTTCAGCATTATATGATACGACTCCCTCAATCATTCTTCTTGACTGTTGTCCTTTCTTTATCCGACCTTCTTAGCTCTCGTCTGGCGACCTTCTTTAGCTCATCCGGTCAGTGCACAGCTGCTCCTTGCTAGATGCACAGCTGTCACTCGTCTATGACACCTAATTAATAATAGTTCAGCATTCTCACTGGCTTCTCCCGGCTCAGTCTTCCTTAGTTTTATTCCTTTAGCACCACAGCATGATCCTATTATATGCGCATCGCCTATTTTGCTCTAAACTAGTTAAGAGCCTTAACGTATGCCTGGGATTCATTCGTTCGTTGTCCTTTCTTTATGAAGCCTTTCTTTGCTCTCTTCTGTCGTGCAGGCATATCCATGTATTCAGCGCAAGCCGCTGTTTTGCCTCACCCTTCTTACTGTTCATTTATTCCTTACTTGATGTATTGTCTTAGACCTTATTACATGCAATCATACAACTCTCGGGCTAGCATTCGCTGGCACTATCCAGCTTGGTACTATTATCTTAGCACCCTAGCTGCTGAGGTTAGGCCTCACTGCTCCGATACTCTAAGCAACCTTACTCTACGCTTGCATTTCGGCTATTCCCTGCCCTTCCGTCAATTAATGTTTCTTAGCCTCTTAGTTCTTCCTCCTCTCACTTGGTCAGCACACAGACGCCCGTTAGCTTCACATTTCTAGGTGTTCATTTCTCACCATTTTCTTAGCACCCTAGTATGACTTGTTTCTCTGCGCGACGCTACATATATATTTGTTCCGCACGTGCGCTTTCCTTTAACTGATCTTTAATACTTCATTTCTATCGATCAATCCTTTCTCCCCTATTAATCTGGATCCGTTTTTACAGCAAAGGTTTCGACACTTACCTTTGTAGGAGGTTAGCTCTCATAGGCTTTTCCTATTTCAATAGGCCATAGCACTATACTCCTAGTACCCTCGTGTCGTCTTTCTGTCTTGATCACCCGATAATTTTTACTCAGCGCTTGAGTCCTATCTATCCGCTGACTTACCATCTCTTTCGATGTAGGCTGGCCACCAGCCGTCCATCCACCATTCTAACGCCGCTGGTCCCTGAACTCTGCTTTCTGTCTTTCCACGCAATAGTCGCATCATAGTAAACTGATACTGCGTTTTTGCTTAATGGCGCAACGCTCTGTATTCCTTGTAGATAGTAGCAACCAACTTATAGGGCCACTGCTTTCGAAAAACATTCAAAAGACACTTTCAGCACAATCATTGCTGCACATTGTACATCATTTGTCTCCACTCTAAATGTTATAACATAGGAGTTTAATAATGTTTGTATCCACGCCTGTTCGTTGCGGCCTTGGTTGTCTCTCACCTTCCCTTTTCTCCGAGGTCCGGAACTTCTTGGGGATCTGGGATAGTACCGAGAAACCGCTTTTGTCCGGGACAGAACAACCAATAAGGACCTATGAAGCACATGGCTGTACAAGAAACGGATACAACTGCACTCACTACCAGGACCGTTGTCCAGTGATGATAGCTGGACTCGAGAACTTCACACACCTGAAAAGAATACATACTCCTGAAAAATCCAGACGCAAGAAACTGACGTTTCGCCCACCTGGATACCCACAAAGACGATTCTTCGTGAAGCCCACATCCTCGATTCGCCTCAGCCATTATGGCGGCCTTGCCCAAGATACCTGATCAAATAACAGAGGAAATTGAAGGTCATTTGACTGCGGATATCTGAGTGTGAAATCAGTCGACTACCTGGTCTGCCAGTTGTATATTAGTGCACCGACAAATTTCTGACAGTGTTCCAGGACGTGGTGGGTTTTCGCCTGGCAAGCGTTCTCCCTATAAAAAGCCACAAATGTCCGCGTAACAACACTGCGACGTGGCGGATGTGACTCGCCACCGAATAAAGTCACTGCCCAGAACTACCTACTGGCAAGTCGACCAGAATCATTATTCAATATTGCCCTGTCACTTTCAATAATAAGTTACACCATGCGTATATGTATCGTTTTCATTACACATGTAGTGCCCTGACTGTTTCCACTACGCACGCTAGAATTCAACGTTTTGTCATTCATTGAAGACTCTATCCCGTGACTACTTACACAATTTCTGCAGACTGTACAACCTTCGGCTTACTGCCGACTACACTCATAGCAACGTGTTGGTTGCGAAGCAATATTGCATGTAAAAATTGATCATGCCTTGCTTGGTGTGTCTCGACAAATAAAGTGAATAAATTATTTATTTATTTATTTATTTAGAAATTGTTCCAATTTTTGCACACACTCGGTCTGTGGATCTAGACTATGGCGAGCCAGGGGATTAAAATTCATTAGCGTTAAATGCGCAGACCACTTGTAACACGAACAAAAAGTACGGCATCATCATTTCCTATCGCAGAATGGTAAAGCTTATAAGTCAATTTATTAAGAAAAATAAAAATTAGAACATGACCGACGTATCCAGACATATGTCTTTGACAACTCCCTGACAGCCTCACACATCTTTCATGGCAGAATTTTGGGACTGTCATTGTGCTGTCACGGGCTTCTGGAGGACCGTCAGCGGGAGTTCCGCATTAGCTTGGCTAAAAATAGACGTAATAAATAAATAAATAAATAGTATATTCTCGGTAAAACGAGACACACCTGTAAAGGCGTGATCAAATATGCATACAAGCATAGCTTCTGTGGAATGTTAAAACATTTCGTTTTAATGAAAGGTATAAAAGAAAAAATGTTGTCCGCATGAGTGAGCATACTGTCAGGTAATAGTCAGACCCAGGGCCATTATGGCGCTGTGGCGCGCAAAAATCCGTCAAAACACAAGTTAGGGGTAATTTCGCTAGGTAGTGATCCGTGAGAACAGAAGCCTAACCAGGTTTTGTTGCAACCAATAACTATTACGAGATAGGGATGATCTGTGCTCCAACAAAGCATTCTTCATAGCAGAATTAGTTGCACAGGTTCGATGTACAAGGCTGAGGACTGCGTCAGTGTGAAATGCTTAGCTGTGACTTTATTTTGTGGCGAGTCACATCCGCCACGTTGCAGTGTTGTTAAGCGGACATTTGTGGCTTTTTATAGGGAGAACGCTTGCCAGGCGAAAACCCACCACGTCCTGGAACACTGCCGTAGCTTTCGTTGAACAGTAGTGCAAGTCGGTTATGCATCGCATAGACCGATATTGCACTCCATTATTTGCAGTCGGTTGACAGCCAAAATTCTTCGTTGGTTGGCCGAATGGCTTAGTACTGATACGGCAGCAGTCGTTGGGGCCGGTCAATAATGCAAGATTCGAAGAGTCGAATGATAATGATGCAGGTGAGTAAACATATTGTTAATAGAGGCCGGCTCTTCTATTATATTCTTGCTCGGCTCGCAAACCATGTCCAGCTATCCACGCTGGACTTGTCATGAGGTCGGTGGGTGAAGTTGTTTCTTGTGGCTGAATATGTCCTTAATAAGAAAAACGCCATTCTCTGGAAATTGGATTTGGGATTCCTGCAGATGTAAGTAAGTGTAACTGTTTCCATAGCCACGTGAAAATTCCATGGAAGACCATCGGAATAGCCATGTATACGTGCGCAACGCTGTCCGTGAAATGACATCAGAATAGCTCCAGGTGACTGGCGAATAGGAATGTTTGAGGCAGTGAAGGTAAGCACGCCAGAGTTGATTGTCTTCGGTTGTGGAACGGAGGATACATGTACATATATTATTCCAGGTGAGTAAATTGTTCTCTGAGTACGAGGCAAGCTAAACCCATTTGTTTAGACCCCGTGAAGGTAGCGCCTCCGGGATGGCGGAATGAGCTCCATTTGGACCAGTGTGTGGGTTTTTCATTTCCTGGAGAAAGGCCAAGCGTTTTGAGGATGGGTCGGCCAGTCCCAGTGGATAAACCTTCTTGTTTTGGCGGATGTACCTGTGGGAATCTCGGGAAAAACGGGCAACGGACAAGAGGTGGCCAAACAGAGACAGCAATGAATCAAAAAGCACTAACACAGACTGGTGGCGCTCACCGGTGCTCACCGGTTGGCTGATAGAGCCTCAGACATTGCGAAGACCTTTATCGCTTATGTGATACTTGCGCCGTGGTTCTATCTGGGATAAGGCAAAACCTGAGGGAACAGTTCTTACTTTTGCAATGAATCAAATAACCTTTTCTAGTGCGAAGTTTATGACCTTTATTTATGTAGCTTGCTTATCGTACAAATCTTGTTCTGTCTTACTTGGTTGAATGGCGTAGACAATTTTATCTCACAGTCAAGCTCTTCTACTTATTTAACCGAGCTGGACGGGTGCCAACAAGGATCACCAAGCGCTTGTATCAAAGACCAAACGCTCCTTAGTTCTAATGCTAATACATTTTAGCGCCTTACTTGAATGTGCACAGCTGCCAAAATTGATCATCTCCAAGTGCCACAGGCCACTTTCAGTTATCATTAAGTAGGCTATGCTAAAGGATCTTGGAGAGGCCTACATTGGTGTAAATCCATTGTTTTGCAATTTATCTAATGTTGCAAAAGTGAAATAATTAGATAATTTCTATATTCTCGTGCAATGCGAGACATACCTATATAGGCATGATCATGTTAAATGTACAACTAAATATCGGGGTATGTATAAAGCATGGCGCAAGTCAGCCATGAACGTTGGAGCTAAGTGTTCATACATGTATGTAAACGTGCATGTGTCTATCTGTTATTCCAGTTTGAATATGTGCCAATACAATCGTGATTGATCGCGTGAATAGTAAGAGAAGGGTTGCAAGACGTCCGGGGTGGGATGGCTGGGTAATCGTATCCATGTCATATCCATGTCGGTTTACGGTTAAGGAGCTAAGCAGGCAACTTAGTCAGCCACCTAACGTCCTACTCTCAAACGTGCAACTCTATAGTGTTATATATACAAAAGTCGGTGGAGCATCGGCGGTGGGTGGTGCGTACTAGCAAAGAAAGCCAGTGCCAAGGAGATAAGTGTAAGTGTGCGACGATGCAAGAGACATTAATTAACGTGAAGAGGGACTCTGGGGTGTTGTTAAGGTTGAAATAGGAACATTTATTATTGATAGCAAGGTCATCTTGGGGAAAGGATAACCGCGGGCGACATGGGCAAATAGTAGGGGCTCTACGCACAAAATACGGAGCTAAAATGTCAAAGGTGCGTAAGTGGAGCCTTGGAGGTTTTTGATGCACACGATGAGAGAAAAGCAGGAGCCAAAAAGACAAGCAAAGGAGAAAGACAAGGCGATGAATATATGCAAGTTAAGGAGAGAATATGCGAGGTTGTAATGGTTGAATAAGGTACCAAGTTTCAGGATAGCTTTGTCAGCTTGGGGTTAAGGGTATAGGCGCATAACATAACCAAATGCTTGGGATCCTATGTACAGAATTGCCTAGCGACACTGTCGATGGATAGTCGGTGAAGCAACGGACTTAAGTGTTGCATATAAGAAGAGGCTAAGTAGAGCCGTTTTGTAAGTGAAGGAGCGGTACGAAACGAGTGATAGAATGCAGGTTTAAATGAGACCATGTATTTGCGCTACGAGTTAATATAGGCAAAGTTTGTAAAAACCTCGACCTCAGCTTGGGAGAAGGATATACGCGAGCAGCGCAGCCAAGTACTTTAGGTTCCAGACACGAATACGTGGAACTACAACATTTGGGTGGAGATTTGAAGTTATGTGGTGCGTAGGAGGGAACGATTTACAGAGCCAAAGGGAAAATGGGTGTGGTACGGAACAAGTACTCTGAAGCACCTTTGTGTTTAACGGGAAAGAAATAAACATTTAAGGTGTTCGATGAAGTCTAGGACTAGGCAGGGGATCCAAAGCGCGGTGATGGTGCTATGTTGCGTCTTTAATGCTAAGTAATGGAGATATTATTAAGGATAACCATGTAAGTTAAGGGGGAATATAGTGGGCAGCGCAGCCAACTCTTTGAGGTCCTACGCACAAAAGGGCGGAGCTATAGTGGCAGAGTTACTTCGGTGTAGTTGGGTAAATATGTGTCCTATGGTTTTCAGGGTAACCTTTAAGTTGTAGGGGTTGGGAAGTAAAACAGTGTGAAGTAAAGTAGCTTTGACCGAACGATCCTAGCGCCGAGTTGCAGGCTGATTAAACCTAACAGAACACTTAGTAGTTAAAGTCACCCAGCGCCAGATACTTGTTCGCAGCGTCAGTGCGTACAAACATAATGCTTTCATCGAAGGTCTCTATAATGTTTCTATACACCAACACGACCTTAAGTTGAACCGAGGAAGCGCAACTGAAGGCGGCTGGAGTCACAAAATTTGGTCGGAATACTAAAACACACCGGTCAAAGGACCAGTGTTGAAGTAATACCCCACCTAAAGAGCTACAAACCCTTCGACGGCTAACGGAACAGTCAGCGCAGAACAGCGCTTCACTAGCCAGTTTTAATTTGTCAGCTGTTATTCCCTCAACCAGAAACGTCTCAGTAAAAGCAAGCTTATCTGGACGGTCTTAGTCAACGAGCAGATACACCTCGTAGGTTTGGTTCTTCAGGCTCCACCCGTTAGTAAGTACCACTCGGAGGACTTCGGAACGACCAGCCCTGGGTCGTGCATAAGCAGAATAGGCTCTACCAAAGCGGAATAAGACCGCCGGCTGACGATCTGAAAACCCACCAATCAAAGACTGGGCTCACCAGCTGCATGCTAGGCCTTTTGGTGCCTGTTAACTTCTTTTAACCTTAAA